TCAAATAATCTCTGAATATGAGCGAGTTGTTGAAAAGTTGACAAGTTCCATGTTTGAGCAAATTAACAAAAAACAGAAAACCGATGATGCAGAAGTCAAGTGGTGATATTTTCTGAATCATACATGTCACAATATCATAAAACTAAACACTTTTAGATGAGAAATAACAGTGAAAATGTCACATCTTTGACATTTCCTGAGATATTGTTGTTCAAACAGCCTCAAATATTAACGAGCAGAAAGTTCATCTGGTAAAGAACTTCCTAAATCAAGCTCACATTTCAGAAATATCTTTAAAACTATTTATACTTTACGCAATGAAAATTTCAGGCGAGTCAGAGACGGTCGAGCAGAAGCTGTTATAAAATTTAGACGCTGTAAAAGCTGAGTTGCAATAATCCATAATGTCTATAAAGGAGTGGAGCGTTACAAATCTACTGCGCCGGTCACTTCTCATCGCATTGCATTATAAAACCATAAAAATAAAGCACTCGTGTTTTGAGGCAGCGCTGCGTCTCACCAGGCTTCAGGCAGCAGCACGGTGTACTCGTGTGGAGAGGTGGTTTCTGGGAAGTTGTAAAGGATGGCGAGCCGGTGCTGGAGGAGTTCTGCTCCGTGGTACGTGAACAGAATGTCCAGAGCCTGAACGTTGCTCTCCTGCAGGCAACAGACGTACAGAAAGCTCTCAGCTCGGGGAGCACGAGCACAAATACAGGACAAAAGGGCACACGGAGGATAAAGTCTGAACTATATGACAACAAAACGGGTTTAAATCAGTGAAAGTTAAATACGTGATCATATGTGCACCAGTCAGCCACAAAGTTAAAACCACTGACGGGTGAAAAACGTTGATTTTCTGAGTCTGTTCACGTTAATTCAGACAGAATTCAGGAAATATGTTGCTGCAGCTTCTCAGATTTAACGTCAGAATTTACTTATTTGTTATTTGGGACCCAAAATTAAGTTCTGTCAAATATTTTTGACTTTCATCAGTTTTCAAGCCTGACTCAAAAAACACATGTGAAGTCATTTGAAGGGTTTAAAAGGTTCAGTATCTCCAGAAACAAAGATAAAATGTGGTGGTGACCCAGACAGAAGAGTTTCCAGCAGATCAGATGATTGAATGGATCCATCAGAGGACACAGTTTTAATTACTGGACCTTAAAAAGAGACAAAAAAGTGCAATTTTCACCATGAAGTCAACATGAAGCATCTTTTGCTCTGCACATCTAGAACCAACATCTAGAACCAACATCTAGAACCAACATCTAGAACCAACACCTAGAACAGGGGTCTCCAATCCTGGTCCTCGAGAGCCACAGTCCTGCATGTTTTAGATGTTTCTTTCTTCCAACACACCTGATTCAAATGATCAGCTCATCAACAAGCTCTGCAGAAGCCTGATAACCATCCTGGTCATGTGAATCAGGTGTGTTGGAAGAAGGAAACATCTAAAACATGAAGGACTGTGGCCCTCCAGGACCAGGATTGGACACCCCTGACCTAGAGCCAACATCTAGAACCAACATCCAGAACCAACATCCAGAACCAACATCCAGAACCAACGTCTAGAGCCAACATCTAGAACCAACATCTTGAACCAACATCTAGAACCTGTGAACTCCAGGTTCTGGTTTCCACCAATGATCCACATCAACAATTAGTCTAAAGATCTAAAACCATGAGCCTTGTCTGGTCCAACTTCACCACATCAGGTTCTACTGATGTTAGAGCCTCAACAGTTGGTGAAATGTGACCAAAGTTTGGATTTTCAGGAGGACAGTAACTTTACCCACCTTTGTTTTCTCAATGTAGCACCTTTTTTCTAATTATAACAGCTGGTATTTACTCTCTGTTGCCATTTTGGACAATTTTGAGTCATCTCAGACAGATTTTAAGTCAAAACATTTGAACGCTGGAACCTTGCCTTGCTACACATCAAGTTCTATTGTATGTTATTATTATAATTTGTAATTTTTTCCATTTTTGAGGGCCAGAAATTGTGTATTTTTGTCATTTCATGACACATTGGAATCATTGTGGACACAAATTGAATTTCCCTTCTGGGATAAATAAAGAATTTTTCATTTCCTTTCATTTCAAGACATTTCGGACAAATGTAAGTCATTTTTAACAATTTAAATAAAACAACTTTGAATCTTGATCTTATTTTGGACAGATTTTGAGCCATTCTGGGTAAGTTTCACATCAATCTGGGTGTATTTAAGAAAGTCTGGACAGGTTTCAATTCATGTTGGAGAATCTTTATCTTATCTAGGACACATTTTAAGTCCTTTTGGACAAGTGTCAAGTCACTTTTGATTCTGGATTCTTGGTTTGAGTCGTCTTAGACAGGTTTCAAGTAAAAAAATAAAATTAAAAATGTGTCCTCTGTTGGATCCATCTAATCATTCTGATCTGCTGGAAACTATTCTGTCTCTGTTCTCACCACGTTTCATATCTGTGGAAGTTTTGTTTCCGGAGATACTGAACCCTTAAAATAGCTTCACGGTTATTCTTTATTTTTTTTTATTTTTTTAAGATGAAAATACAAAATTGATCAGGTCTGAAAACCAAAATATTTTACAGAACTTAGTTTTGGTTCCCACATAACAAACAGACAAACTCTAAATAAAACATGACACCACTGCTGTCTGGAGTGACCCAGGCTGACCCCGCCGGTTGCCATGGCAGCAGTAAGTGGGCAGGTCATATCCGTCCTCGGCCAATCAGAGAGGAGGACCGTGCGAGGCAGCTGGTTTTAAGTGTATGTATGTATATGAGCAGCTAAAATAGAAACTCCTGCAGCCGCATTAATAATCCGCCGTTATACCCTGGCGTAGTTTCTTGCTGACAGAACAATATTTTGACTCCGGAACTTCTTGAAGAACTCGGCGTCGTACTTCTGCTCCGCCGCGTGAGGACCGCCGAGTATCTCCTGGAAAGCACAAAGAAAAAAGAAAAGAAAGCACACATGAGACAGACGGAATACAAGTGTGGTTCATGAAAAAGAAATTTGCGAAGCAGACGGTTATCTCGGTGAATAAACGCTGCGAGTGGGCAGAAATTCAAACTGAAGATGAGAGGCAGAGGAGAAGCTGCGACTGCAAATGAATGGACTGAGGCAAAGTCAACAGAGATGCTGTTTGACTTTCTGGCTTCCGGCTGTCGCGTCCTTTCAGTTCGAACCTTCTGAGGAACTCGTGAGTGTGTGCACATCATGTCAGGAAGGAACAGTTGTTGTCCCGGCCTTTGGCTGGAGGGATTTATGTGCATGTGCGGGTATAAAACCTCTGTAGCATCTCGACGGCGGCCTCTGATGAATCGCCTTTGAATGGGTCGTATGCAGACGGAGGCAGCCCGAGTCGGGATGATAAAAACCCTAATATCATATTCATAGACAGCCGGAGAAAATGGATCGGGGCGAAAGGAATCCGACGAGCGCTGCAGTTACCATGACAATGTCCGAGTGAAGAGAGAGACATCATTCTGTCTGAGTCGAATATCTAGCAGGCGGAAAAAAAAAAACCTCATCTCTGCTCTGCTGCTCTGCAGAAAGCCAGGCCTGTTCGGCTGTGATTTATTGTGGATGGAAACGGTGTTAACATTATTCATCGTGAATCTGGAATCCGGAGTTTTAAGCACTTAAAGCGTGAATCCATCTCCGGTATGCTGCACCCCGACGCATATATATCGTGGGCCGGTTTGTAGCGCGGGGAAGAAACAAGACTGATGCCTCTGAAGGCAGGTTCAGGATGGAGGTTTGTGGTTAGTTTACAGGATGATACAGAAGCTGCAGCATCAGTTAAACGTCAGATCACCTCCATCACAAATTCTGAGTCGTGTTACAGTAATTCTGAGTCATTTGGGAAGAACTTTTAGCTCGTTTTATACAGGTTTCAAGTCATTTTGGTCAAATTTTTAAGTCAATTTAGAGTTATTTTGTCCAAATTACCGTATTAGCTTATCTTTAGGAGCTGTTTTGGACTAGTTTCAAGTAAATTTTAACCTATTTTGAGTTGTTTTGGACCAATTTTGAGATATTTAGAAGCAATGTTCAGTCATTTTGGATGGATTATTAGACATTTTGGACCATTTGGAACCTGCATGGACAAAATTTGAGTAATTTTGGACAAATTTTGAGTCACTCTGGACCATTTTTGCTTGTTTTTAACAAATTCTGAGCTACTCTGGAGAAGTTTGGAGTCATTTCAGAAAAATGTTGAGTCATTTTGGACCATTATTAATTGTTTTGAACAAATCCTGTCATTCTGGGAGAATCAGGAGTCATTTGGGACCAATTTTAGTCATTTTGGACCCATTTTGAGCCATTTAGGTATATTTTTGCTTGTTTTGAACAAATTTTAAGTCATTTTAGACACATTTTGGGCAATTTTGAGCATCAGATGTTTCTCCTCCTCTGTTCAGGTCTTCTCCATGTGGAGCCATGATGCAGACATAGACAGACACAGTCCATAGGTCCAGAACGGAGAAGGTTCTGCTGTTAGACTGATGGAAACCACAGCTGGACTCAGTTTGGTTTCAGCTGGATTCACTTTGGCTCTTTGAGTTTCTACTTTGGATGCTGACGTTGTAACATCCACCCATATCGTAGACGTATCAGCAGCACAGTAAAACAAAGATTCGTATTTTTCAAAAACTGAAGCTTTGTGTTTTCTTTCCGGCGTTTAACGGACTCTGGATTGTACATTTGAACATTTTTTCGTGTGTTTTCTTTTGCTTTTATCACTTTTCCATCATTATCATGTTTTGCTCTGAATTCTTGCCTCCGCTGCGTCCTCATTGCAAATTTATGAAATTTATGAGATTTATTCATGACGGCGTTTCCTCGGTCGCGGCTTTTATCGAGTCTCTCGTTTACCACATAATTGTTTAAGAGGATGTTGTTTTTATTGTTCTTTTGTTGTAATAAAACACTTTTATTTGTCTGGAAAGCGCTTTGCAGATAAACTCTGACGGACGGATGTGTGAGAACAAGGCCGGTTTACCTCTCGGCTGCCTGGCGCTCATCCTTTCATCCGCGTACTTAAAACGTGTTGCACATAAGTATCCTCCGACACTTTTCAATATTTCTGCAGAGATTAGCGGGGTTAACGGAGAGCTTCCATCGACGGCAGATGAAAAGAGCCGCGCCGCTTCGGAGGGATTGGATATGAAAGGAGGAAGCATTAGTTTACCGATGGGAAAACAACGGAGCAATAAAGCTCAGCTGCTCGGTTTATTATTCCATTTGACCGTGTTTAGACGAATTAGTTTGCATCGTACACAAACAGGGAGATGAAATAACACGACGCACCGATGAACCTCCGAGTTAATTCGGCTTTAATAGTATTCTGAATAAGGTTCTCTTTCCTACCGAGTCTCGCACGGCTCAGGAGTTTGAAAAACGAGACCCCCGTCCAGAGAACATCTCTCTGGATCCGCCGGTTTAGCTCAGACGGAGCAGAAATCGCTGCTTTCTGCTGGATTCGGCTTTGAATTCGAGGATGTTGTTGTTCTGAGAGGCCCACGGCTTCAGTACGGCGGGAAACAAATCGATAGCGACGATGTAAAGTTCAGCGAAACACACCGACGCTGAAGTTCGCTTCTGTTGTGTCTGAAAGTTGTCTGCTGAATTATCGCAGGTTTTTCTTTTCAGCGTCTGTGTGGGAACGCTCATCGAGCTGAAATATAAAGACAGTCGTAAATATTTATACATCCACACTTATACGCTCACAGGAGCCTCCGGGGGACATAATACCCTCAATAAAAATGTTCTTTTTCCACTTTCAAGGGCCAATAATTAATCATTATTGCCATTTGGTGACTATTTTGAGTCACTTCAAGTCATGTTAGACTAATTCAAGTAATTCTGATTAAGTTTTAAAATAATTTTGGACAATCTGTACCTTATTTCTGAC